ATGGTTCGTGCTAGCCGTCCTGCAGAATGCTGTGCTGGCGCAGCTCTCCTTGGGCATCCTTGTGAACATCCACATCATCCTCACCGTAGCTGTCCTATCTGCCGAGGTGGGGGCAGGTAAAGAAAAAAAAGAAGAAAAGATAAAGAGAAAAAAAGAAAAAAAGAAAAAAGAAAGAAAAAAAGAAAAAAAGAAAAAGATACGTTGATCTGTGGGATATGTTATTTGCTTTGTGATAATTGGATTATCTTTCTTTCCCTATCTCCTTTCCCTGTCAGGTTTGGTTTCCTCCTCCCCTTCTTTACCTCTTTGCCTTTTGGCTACGTGCAAGTGGGTCCTTGTGACACACGGGGATGGGGGCAGCCAGCGCTCAACCTGTCATCCACGTGGCTGGCCTTGTACGTAAGAGGTTATGAACAGGTGGAGCTTTCCTTACCTCCTTCCCCTTCCCCTTTTTTCCTTTTCCTTTTTTCTTTTTCCTTTTTTGCGCTCTGATTCACAATGTGACAATATATATATCGTCAAATAGAACTGCCCGGCAAACCGTAGGCAGAGAGGGAGAAGAGGACAACAAACGAGGGGCTGTGACAAACTGTTTCGTCGGAGTTTCATATATATATATTGACGATATATTGTCACATATATATGTATATATCTACAGTGTGACAATATATATTGTGACGATATATATATTTGTGACGATATATATATACACGTGGGCGGGCGGCCTTGTACGTAAGAGGTTCTGAACAGAGGGGGTAGGAAGGAAGAAGAAGGTAAGCAATGGCCAAATTGCTCTTCACACGCAATGGGACGCTGGACCCGATTTCCAGCAGGTGATGCTCCCCACCAATAGATGGAGCCTCTCCTCCGGTGGTAGTGCTGTCTGCTCTTATCAGCAGCACTAACATTGAAGGGGGTGTTTTCCAAAAAAAAAGAAAAAAAAAAAAAAAAGAAAAAAAAAGTAACTTCGTTTCAAACGTGCGTGTACACTGCTCAGATCGCGCACGCTTTCCCCTACATTACATGTTTCAACCGGGTGCGCCATGTCCTTCGTCAGGACTGTTTTGATGGGATGGGATGGTTCGTGCTAGCAGTCCGGCTGAATGCTGTGCTGGCGCAGCTCTCCTTGGGTTTCCTTGTGAACATCCACATCATCCTCACCGTGAAAAAAAAAAAAAACCTTTTAAAAAAGAAGGAAAAAAAAAGAAGAAAAAAAGAAATAAAGAGAAAAAGAAAAAACGAAAAAAAGAGAAAAAGAAAACAAGATCTGTGGGATGGGTGTTATATGCTTTGTGGCAAGCGGATTATCTGTGGGATGTGTCATTTGCTTTGTTTGACTGATAGGCTTTCTATCTTGCCTCTGTGAGGTTTGGTTTCCTCCTCCTTTTCTTTTTTTACCTCTTTCTTTGCCTTTTGGCTGCGTGCAAGTGGGTCCTTGTGGATGGGGGCAGCCAGCGCTCAACCTGTCATCCACGTGGCTGGCCTTGTGTTCGTAACAGGTGATGAACAGGTGGGGCTTTCCTTCCTTTTTTTTTTTTTTTTTTT